TGATTCTCGATACTAAATTATAGCACATTTATCACTTTAAAAAGCCAAAACAGTCAAAATGTTGATTAAAATTCTGCTGACTAATAATTATCAAACTTTTTTTTTGCCACTATATAAATCCTTTAGTACTCAAAAGAGCAATTGTTTTTGCTTTAAATATTTTAAAAAAAGTATCAAAAGTTTATTATTTTATATTTGAAAACCTTTTTTAACTAAATTTTTATACTTTCCTATTACAATAGAATATTAATCAATGTATTAATCATTTATTAATTATAAAAAAGCTGATTTGAATATTATTAGGCAAAGAAATATTAATTAATATATCTTTATTATTAAATTTTACTAAGCTTTTTACAAGATGACAAAATTCAATACGATTCCATAATTATCATTTAAATTCTAGAGCTAAATATAATGAAAATGTTAGTTTAATATCAGGATAATATTATTTTTACCTTCATATAACTTATTCACTTATAACAAGTGTCAAACTAAAGCTAAGTATTTCTTGTTCTATAAAATGAGTAAAAAAGAAATATATATAAAGCTAGAAAAAATTAAATCAATGTTTCATCATCCCAGATAATAATAATAGTAATTAACAGACTTTATTAAGAATAATACAATGAAAATAATGCTTATTTGCATTTTCATTTAATACAGTAATTTCATTGATATATTGTAAGATATCTATCGGTTCATAAATCAGGAAACCTAGAATATGAAAAGGCAAATATAAATTTTTTATTCTATCTCTGATCTCGTTTCACAAAAAATGAATTAAGCACCATAGGGTAAGGTTGGATTGAATAAATATCTGTTAATATTTTATTATTCAAAAAAATCTATAATATAAGATATCATAAAAAAAAAATGAATAACTAGAATCCAATTTCTTATATTGTAAATTAAAAAAGCAAGTTATTGATTATTCAATACTTAACAGCTTCTAATATTCCCACTCAAATTCAATTTAGAAAATATAAAAACGAATTAATTGAAATTAGTTGAATCATTGCATGGTATTGTAGATCAAATGAAATCATTTGTAATCGAATAATTACACTAACTGATTACTATTATGATGGACTGGATTCAAAATCTTAAATAATAAGGCTCACAATATTCTTAATATAGTTTTTATGAAGAATTAGAAATTATGTATATAAATTAAAACAAAACTGATGATCACTTATAAATATTTATAAAAGAAATTTAGAAAATCAAAATCTGTTGGGCTTCAAAATTTAATCCTAAATTAGAATAATTCAATTAATTTGAACAATATAATAAATGTAAGGAACTATTATCTTGTTTATTATTATGTTCTTAGAATTTTAATCAGAGTGAATAAAAATAAGTGATCAATATAGAGCAAAATAAAGGAATAGAATGTTTAAAGAGTAAATTAAATATAAAAGAATAATAAACTATTTAAACTACTCATTCAATAAATCTCAAACCTTTCAATTATTAAATAATTCAAAAATCTTCAATTTCATAAAGTGATAACTGTCATGCTATTGCTTTTGATAATGATTGTTCAACATTGGTGGCTGGATGTAATTCAAAAATTAAAGTATATGAATTCAAATAAGGAATCATCAAAGAAATTTAAACTTTAAATGAACATTAGAATAGCGTATTTACTTTAAACTTCATGAAGAAATCGAAATAGTTTATATCTGGAAGTGTAGATAAATCTATTAGAATATGGAAATAAAATTAAAATTATTTATGGAGTTCATTATAGATATTAAATGGACATAATGGAGCAATCACTTGTTTAGTACTAAATATTAATGAAGATCTAATTATATCAGGTAGTTATGATTAAACTATTAAATTTTGGATAAAGAAGAATGAATGGTTCTGTTAATAAACAATTACTGATCATTCACATGAGATATTAGGATTGAGTTTGAATTAATAATAAAATAGAATAGTATCATGTGGATATGATAAATTAATATTAATAATAGAAAATTAAGGATAGAATAAAGAATGGAAAGTAATACAACAGATTAATATTAATAATTGTGGATATAGAGTATGCTTTATTGATAATAATATGTTCACATTGTCACAAACAGATTAAGAATATATATCTGTCTTTGAAACTAATAATATCAATAAATAGTTTACCAAAACTAGAGATATTACTATTAAGTGTGGATCAGATGCTAATTGTTTATTTCCTTAATAATACGTAAATTCAAAATGTATTTTATTAAGTAAGAATGGTGAATATGTCAATTTGATAAGAAAAAAATAAAATGGAGAGTTTCTAACTGAATAATCTATTCATTTTCGAACTAATTCTTTATTTGGAGGAATGAGTGAAGATGGGTAGTATTTGATCACATGGGATGACAAATCATGTTAAATATAAATTTGGAGATATCATGAATTATGATAATTAAAATTAGTAAAATAAATATATTTGACTACAATTTTTCTAGATTTACGCCAATTTATTTAATTATCTGATATTTTTT